GTTTTAAATTTGGTTTGATTACATTTAAATTGCGTGAGATTGCTTAAATGCATATTATGGAGATAGCGCATAATATGTCATAATTTCGCTCATAATAATGTCAATAACATAATAGTAAAAATAATAACATTAGCGATACTTATAAGCAGTTATAAAATACAAGAACTGACACCTTGCATGCATTTTTTTCTATTTTAATTTTAAATTTCTGCCTGTGTCTTATATTACTTAGAGATACAGTTTAAAGTTATTTTTATTGCTTTCCAGGTAATCTAATACTATTAAAACCCTATTAAACCAAAAAATGTTAATTTTATTACTGAATTGTTGTTGTTGACTGTCTAGTTTAATATGGATAACTCCAGTATTTTTATTAAAAGAATTTTTACCTAGAAATTCTAAATGAGCAAAACATTTGTAATTAATTTTATAAAGTAATTAATTACCTTTTTGTAATTAGAATTGTATGTGTTATTTGTGGCTAGGAATTTTTAGTGTTTATTATAATTATCGTAGTTAATAATGATGTAGATAACGATAATTAATGTATATGTAATTTTTATATATAAGTTATATTTATATCGCTTTTTACCTTACAACTTCAATCATGTTTATCATTTGACAGTTTCTTATAATGAAATAATATTCCATATTTTAAATAGCATCTGTCTCAGTATCTGTATCAGATTTATACCACCAAAATAAAAAAATTAACATAAACTTAGAGTACTCAACGTGGAAATAGTTATTCTAATATAGTAATTCAAGCAAGAACAATGTCATTACGTTTTGTGTAAAAATGAATAAATATTTCATTGTTTGGCCGCTCCTTTAAACCTAGACAGACGTCTCCACACCCACCAGTTTTTTGTAAAGGTAGTTCATCAAGAGTTGAATACATACAGCTAACAATGTCGCCTACTAAATTGCTAGTTGACTGGGGCACGTGTTTTTATTTGTTTCAATATTTACTTTATCCACGGTTTTGGGTTAGTAATAAATTACAAATTGTCTGATACAATACAAAATTATTAGCAGTCGTTTACCTCGTGATTGCTCCAGGCATCTTTTCTTAATAAAATAAAGCAGTAGGTGTCTCTCCTTGATTAATATAATTAAATTTGTCCATATGATACGTAAGCTGCAAACCATGCTAAAGGTACTGAAACTAATTTTATCAAAAATTTAATTTAACTGGTTTACAGGTAAGTGCGAAGGTAAGTGGTTGACTTCGTTCAATTATATATTATTAAATATAAAATGTATGCAGGTAAGCCATCACTTGTTAGTACTAAAACTTGATTTGGCGAGCACGGATATGATGATTTGTATAAAAAATATACTAATAGCCGTATCATGTTAATGTGAATATGTAATTTAGAAAAGAGTGGCCGTGACTCATCATCAGTCTATACTGCGAATGTCATTTTTTACATCGCATTTTAACTGGTTTGAATTGCTGTTAGTTGCCAAATTTTGAAATTGTCTATTAATGGTTAGTGCATGTAATTTATTTAGACAATTTTAGTTTAAAAATTGGCAGCATATTTTTTCAATTTTCTTATATTTCACGGGAAATTGTTATATATACTGGGCGATTCAGATTGGTGTTCGCAGTCCTGTGTCTTTTTTTTATTTTAACAAATTGCTATAACAAACCCTATATACTTTTAAATCGCCGCTCAAACTCTATCAAATGACATTATTAGATCGACTCCATGGTAACATACGAGGTAACATGTCAAAATTGCTGTAGTCAACTGTTTTTGTTCAAATGGCACCCTATATAATTTTTTTTTAAATTCCGGAAGATATTTTTTTCTCCGTTCAGCTATGTAAGGAAATCTATAATTTCTTTAGAAATATTGCTAGAAAAACAGCAAAAAAGATGAACCCTACTTTTCGTAGTTTTATTCTGAAAAATGATGGCCAGCTGCGGAAACAAGTTACTATGTTTTTTAATGTAACATATTTTATTTTCAATGCGATAATAATATAACAATTTAGAACAATACTTATTTCAAATGTTCAAAATGACCTCAATTGGCCTCCAAACACAGAATAGCTCTGTTTATCACTCCCTCTCTACAAACATATTCTAGTGTTTCTTCATTTAATCTCCGATATTCTACTCTTATTATGTTTGTAAGGCCAAAAAAAGAAATCTATAGGAGTGAGATCCAGAGATCTAGCAGACCTTTTAACATTTTTATCGAATGTTCTTCATCTCTTACCCTTCCGGGTTTAAAAACTCTTCTTTTCTTTTGAAAACTTCCATCTGCTGCTAAATTACTGGCTAACTTTTCGAAAATTTTATCTGATGGAAGTTGTCTCTGCGGAAAACAATGTTGGTACTGAAAGTAGGGTTAATCTTTTTTACTGTCTTTCTAGCAATACTTCTAATGAAATATAGACTTCCTTATATAGCTGAACGCAGAAAAAAAAATATCTTCCAGAATTGATAAAAAAATATATAGTGTGCCATTTGAACAAAAACAGTTGACTATATCAATTTTGACATATGTTACCATGCAGACGATCTGATAATATCGTTTGATAGAGTTTGAGCGGCGATTTAAAAATATATAGGGTTTGTTATAGCTATTTGTTAAAATAAAAGAGATACTAGGTCGCGAATATCAAACTTTCGATCAAACTGAATCACCCGGTATACTTACAACAAAGCGAATAACAAACTTCTTCAAAAAAACATGAAAATGTGCAACCACAATAATTGTAATCCACAACACAACAGCATCTCCATCCATGCTTTAAATTGTATACGTCAAATTTACAATTTAAGAGGAATTTTCACCATAAGAATAAATAATGTACACGACCTTAAGTACCGAGTTAAGTACCTACCTCTCGACTTACCTTAATTATATCTTTTACATGTAAAATGCATAAAATTTTGAATTTTTTTCCGATAGATTTTAATAAAAATTTGCATTTAATTTTACACGAAATTAAAAAAATTAAGTGCTTATCCAATCCAATTTTTGAAATTCATAACAAACAGCCAAAACTTGGCAAACATTATAAACGTAGGCACACCATTTTAGTGACGCCTGATTCAGAACTGAATTCTATAGATGGTTATTTTAATTGAATTTTTAGTATATTAAATAGTACTTAGGTATATTATTGGCGTTACAAAATAAATGTAGGTATTCAGCAAATTAATTTTTATTTGCGCTCCCTGCTTTCTATAGGTAATGACATGACTTCCAAAGTTAAAGTACGCCTTATATATAAGTTGGTAGAATGATATTAAATTTTAGCAAGTGTATAAAGTACATCATACATCGACACGATGTATTGAAATGCTTAGTTATTTCAAGGTTAAACACTTATAGTGAGTATGTATATACATTTCAATTAAATCTCTTGGTATGTATACTCATTAAGTAGACAGAGTTGTGCAAAATAATTTTTATTATAGCAATAACCCGAATACGTTTAGGTATGTATGACATCAGCACAGAGAAACCTCAGTATATCAATTCGATACAACAGTGATAAGAATATCATGGCATCTAAATCACATTTTAATTCTGTTTACAAAAACGGAAGATGAAATGAATAGATAACATACTCGAAATATTTTTTATAAATTTTTACTATGGTATCAAGCATAACATGCTGAATCTTAAAAATCATTTTTTTTATTTACCTGTAGATGTTCTGTGGGTAGATGATTCCTAATACACGAGCAAATTGTCATTGTCATTATTGTCTCATTAGCAAATACATTCTTCTGATCTCGTTTGTGATGCTACTATATTTCATAGGAATTCGCAAATGAAATAGCGACTAAATGATTAATTACTTGGATTAAAAAACATTACCTATATTTTAATTGTGAAATTATGAATCGGATATTCCTGGGGTATTTCAATGTTTTGGATTCGGTTTTGGATATTCATTGAATCCAATATTGCAAAAATTGATACCGAAGTAGGTATTCACAATATTTCTTCCGAGCTTCCAATTCTAAAATTATGGAAACCTTTATAGTTTAAACCGACAACAAACAATAATAATGATTGTTAATTAGGTATACTGTAGCGTTTTAAACCTAGAACGTAAATGACATAATCATACTGAACATGTAAGTTAAGTGGGTACATTCATATGTTTAATCAATAATAGAGTTAAATACCAAACTGTAGTGGATAAACATATTTCTTATATTTTATCACATTACCAAGTATAATTATTCTCAAATATGCTTAACAGACTTTTCAATTTTGCACGTACTTAACTGATGTCTAATTTTATCAATGGGTAAAGTAAATATACCCACAAACGCAATATAAATAGTATCATTTTATGTCAAGTTGATGTAATTCTGTTTTCTCCGGAATTATTTTAAGTTAATATCCTACTTTATTTCCTCTCCAAAATCCTCCTATTTTGATAAAAAGCAAACGGATCGGGTAATCAGAAAACTATTAATCTACTGGGTATATCTAATTATTTTAAATACCAATATAATTTTGTGGTTAACCAGCTTTTATAGGAACAAATAAAATTATTCCATATAATTTCTTTGTTGCCTTTTTTTAAAGTAATCTTTAACACTGAACTGATTACTTTTCATTTGATTTTCCTCAGACGTAAACATGCAATTTAAAATATGTGATAAAACGATAAATACAAATTAAGGACTTTAACGCAAAATTCAGGACAATGTATTTAATATTTTGCCAGTAAAAAATTCCAGCCTTTTCCAAATGGGTTGACTCACTAAAATAATTACCAAGCATCATGAAGAATTCAAGCCCAAAGGCGCAATGAGATGATTTGAAAGACAAGTTTCCTAGAAACAAGTTTAATTAAACAAAATTATAGACAACACAACCTTAATTTATTCATGATGGTATCATTGAAAAGGAATTCCTCGACGCCAGAACGGAAACATTAAGAAGGCACCTACATGGGTCAAAAATAGTGAACTACAGGCAGAGAATGCGCAAAAATTTTAAATGACCTACCATGTGTTTCAATAAATATCCAGAGTGCCGTGGAGATCCGTGCCCATAATGTATATAGAAAATCCAAGAGCCGTTCACTTTAACAATGCAAAACAAAAACACTGCACACCACACTCCTCACTAAGGGCACAACCTCCACGTGTTTTGAAAACTAAAAGAAGTATCTTCCGTCAGCCGGCAAAGGTACTCTTCAACTAAATTCCCTATTTTAACTCTGAAGCGGTCAGGTACATTCTGAAGCAAAATATCATTGGAATGCAGCCGACCAGGCAAGTCTCAAAGACCATTTTGACTGGAACTTCCAACAGCGTACACTCGACTGCTGTGCGATTGAAAGGTACAGTCCGCGTACCAAATTTATTGGATGCCTGGGCCTTAAAAACGTGCTCCCAGCGTAGTAATTTGATGCCGAGGAGTGTACTAAACTCAGGTGTGTTTGATACCTGTTTAGAGGTTACATTCCTCAGCTAACGCGGCATTCCGTGGGGAGAAAATCAGAATAGCCTCGCTGCAAGTCTGCTCGCGTGTACGTATACACGTTGGATGCACTATTTTTTGTTTTATTTATTAATTTAGTATTTGGAAGTCGCCAATTTAAAGTTATTGCTATCGCTTCTCGTCCCCAAGTGAATAAAATTACTGGATGCTGGATATATTTCGACGTAATATACGATGAATAAAAATTACCGAGATATAAAAAATAGTGGTACTGCATTCCAGAGACCGAGTTCTGACCAATCGGGGATAAGCGCGCCAAAGGTAATCAGCGTGCTATAATCTGAGACCTGGGGCTTCATGTTACGCTATGGAGATACTAACCACAAACTTAGAACGATTAACCCACATCATAATTTCAATTTTTTCCTTTAATTAAACAAAGTGTTGAAAATTAATTTGTGCTTTTATTATTTTATAGGCGTATATAAATATTTTTATTTTATATTATAGTCTATAGTTTATATCTAATCGTAAATTGGCGATACATTCTTACATTATCTCTAAGGGAATCATGAGTAAATTACGATTATAAATGTACAGGTTCGGAAAGTCCCCATGGTACATCGGCCGTTACGTGAGAGCGATAAAGTAAGTCATAGAAATCAGTGCAATAGACAAGGATGGTTACATTGAAGACGTTACATAATCTGAATAGTCACTCCTACTTCTAACCCGAAACGGGCGTTGATTATTCAGATTGTGAAACGTCTTCACTATAGCCATCCTTGTTTATCGCACGGATTTCTTTACTTTACTTTGTCGCTCTCATGTAAAGGCAGATGGACCATGTGGATTTTCCAGCCCTGTATATGAAAGTCGATCATCTCTTAATCTCGCTGCCTCATATACCATCATATAAGTATGAGGTATATTTACTTATATCCTTTTGTTTTCAGTAATATTAAAACGATGAAAAAATTAAATAAAAAATGATAAATAAATACTGACCCCATTTGAAAAAAAAGTTATAACTTATTGAAATTGAAGACCGCTGGAATTGAAAAAAAATTGTCAATTGCTTCGTCACGCATGGCGTAAGCAAGCTCCTGAAATTAAAGCACATTTAAAAGAGTTTAGGAATTCTCCAACATCATTGACTTTTCCGCCATAACTGCTGCGGAAATAAAATGATAAAGGCTTTAAGTCCAGGATTTAAATATTCTTATACAGCACGCTAGTAAGTCTATCTTGTTATAAGCATATGACGCAAGAAAAGTAAAAAATAATAATTAACTACTAGTTATTAACAATAAAAATGTTAATCTATTGAGTCGAGAGGAAATGACACCTTAAATTCTCATATCTTGCCATCTCCTTTTTCAATTCCTAAGCTAGTTCGTCGAATTCGATTGATTATTATCATCGACTTCTCTGTCACCATAAATTACCTTTTTTAAATATTCCCAGAAACAAAAGTCTGAAGAATTTAAGTCCGATGAATGGACACCACGTTCTATACACCCATTAGGAAATGAAGTATTTAAATATAGGATAAGTAAATCAAGATCGTGTAAATACCACATTCCCTGACATACGTGGAAATGTACTTCAGGAAGAACTAGTAAAAAGTCTTCTAAACAGTTTACATCACACCATCATCATTCAAATAGTTTGAAAACATAAAACATATACTTAAAACTTTAAAAATTTTGTCACAGTGCCAGTCCAAATATTAATGGATAAGTGATATTGAATTATTATATGACCACAAGCGGTACGAATTGTGGAAATGAAAAATTTGTTGTAGTTAAAAATAGTTTCGTTTGACAATGAGTATAAAATTGTGATAGGGTCTTGGCATTGGTATTTAAGTACTTGAATATCACAGTGAGAAAAGATACTCACATTGTTCAATAGATTGTCATGTAAAATGCTGAAATAGATCTTTTTCCACTCAAGAAATTCAAGTGTAAATCTACAGCTGAAAAGGTTATCTTCGTTTTTTCCAGACTTATAAATACATCTCGTTTGGAATACTACAAACTGCAAATAGTGATGTGCAAAAAAATATCCGCTAAATGTTAAACGTAACGTTCAATAGATACTAACTCATATTTTAAAGTACAAATATTGGTCAGGATATTTCGGAGAAGTAGTGAATCTATTAAGATCATCAAAGAAGTGGAAGGCCTTCAGTCACTCCTGATGGCTGCAGCATAATGGAAACAATGTCGTTTCTCCAAGATCGTCGTTTGAAAATGTCTAAAAAGTAAACTAAAAAGTAAAAACAGTCAAGTTTCTCAATAAAGTAGATTCCAAAATAAAAACTTCATGGACAACAAATTTCACAAAATTATTTAAAATATTTCCATGCAGATCCTAATGTTTTCTTTAAAAAAGTGACTGATTATTCAAATATAAAGAGCCCTCCAGGGATGTCATTTTGCAGACAATAACCAATTGAGAGAGGATATTAATTCTTATTTTAAAGGGCAACGTATTTCCTTCAAATGGAATAAAGCCATTATTGAAGGGCAGTGAACGCAAGACGTTAAGAAATAAAATAAAAAATACAGTCTACTTGTGTCATTTGTAAGAAGAAAACTTTTCTAGTGTCTCTCCTATTAAAGAAAGGTGAAACAATGTATACGCTCACTTTAGACGAAACCAACAACACGAAACTGTTGTACTGGATTTTTATGTAAAGTTCTTTTTCCCCTCTATGAGAATAAACTTGCTCACACTGCGGAGATACAACTTTGTTTTTTCTTGGTCATCTCTTAAAAAAAGGTTAAAGAAGGTTAACGGCACACCAAATGTGTAAAATAAATTAATGCAGCAGTCTGAGTTTAATAATAATATATTTTCTAAATAATGCATAAACTTATTTTGTAGGTATGGTAGTCAAAGACAGCACCTACTGTAGAGATTAGGATGTCATGTGCATAAGATATTCAGTATCTAGGCGAATATTTTAGCATAATTTTAACAACTTTTGTAATTATTTAAACTGCAAACAATATCTACAGGAATGGCCCTGCTTGATTGCAAAGTCTGTTACAATGAGAAAGAACGAAATATACAGGGTGTCCCGAAATTAATTGGGACACAAAGCAAGAGTAGATTCCTTACATCAAAATAATGCGATTAAGCCAAACTTACCTTAGTCCATTTGTGGCTAATAAAAAAGTTACAGGGCGTTAAAGATGAAATTTTGAATTCGAAATTCTTAAAATTCTTAGAAACTTTTCAGAGGATTCTTTTGAAAATTTGGATGGGGGTTTTCTGGGACGAGAAAAACGAATCCGTACTTAATTTTGCTGTAGACGCTAGAGGGCGCTACGAAATGTACACTTGGTTGATAAAAACTGGTTATAACTTTTTTATCAGTGTGTTTGAAAGTTTTAATAGAAAAATATTGTTCTCCTATCTATTTTTCACAAATAAGGGATACTTGTTTTATGTCGGTAAATTTAACCGTTTTCGATTTATTTCTTGTTTTTATATTTGATGCAATAAAATAAAAGTTTGTAGTTACTTACGTAAAAAACTAAAGATTATTTTTAATAATAATTTAATTACATTCAGGTGGCTACATCAAATTCTCAATATGACATTACCCCGTTTACATTAATACACAATCTTATTCGTTTGATAAATGATTGTCTAATATTAAATAGTGTTTCTTCATTTCATCCCGTGTATTAATAGGGTCACTGTAAACTTTTGATTTCAAAATACCCCAAATACTGAAATCCATGGGGTTTAAATCTGGGCTTCGTGCGGGCCATGAAAACGCGCTGCCGTGACCTATCCACCGTTGGGGATATTGTGCGTTAAGATAGTTTCGCACCTGTACAGAAAAATGGGCAGAGGCACCGTCTTGCATAAAAAACATATTGTGTCTTACATTTAATGGTAAATCATCAATAAGTTCCTCAAAATCATGTTCTAAGAAATGTAAGTAAGAACGGCCATTCAGATAATATGGCAATTCAACAGGGCCCAACAGATGATTTCCAACAATACCACACCAAATGTTTATCTTAAATTCATGTTGGAAATGACGTTCTCTTAATACATGCGGGTTTTCATTATCCCAAACATGTTTATTTCTGAAGTTGAAAACGCCCCGGCGAGTAAATGTGGCTTCGTCTGTAAACAGCACCTTGCTTAAAAAGTGTGGATCATCATTGTGTCGGTCTAAGAATCGAAGACAAAATTGTTCCCTATCTGGAAAATCTGCAGGTAGTAAATTCTGCACTGGGC